CCCTCGATACGCCCGAGGGGGGGGGGCGCGGGGGGGGCGCATGTGTTGCAGCCATAGCTTTTTCACTATTGTCCTCGCATTGTTCCCGCAGGCCCGATCACCGATGGCCAATCGCGCGCGGGGGGCGGGGGATGAACATAACAGCCACGGCCCCCCCAGCGGGGTAGATAAACGCCCTTCTCGAATGTGTGATGCTAGCATATCTGCATGTCAACAACAACAACAACAACAACAAATCTTCTGTTTTTGCGGTTGGTTTCGGCGAGAAATGAACCTCTCACCGTTCTCTTCGTCGTCGCCGACGGTTACTATTTTAGTTCCCTACCAATGCTAATATTAACACGAGGTTTTCACACCCGAAGCGGCGCTTTGGTTATACGAAGGACCTCTCACCGTTCTCTTGGTCGGCGCCGACGGTTAACATTTACTCTCTATACCAATGCTGTTGTAGCAAAGGTTTTCACACCCGAAACGGCGTTTTGGTTGCACGAAGAACCTCTCACCGTTCTCTTCGTCGTCGCCGGCTGACTGTCTGTCCTTCTTGCTTTGTTTCGCCGCGGCGGCGGCGGCGGCGGCGGTGGCGGCGGCGGCAGCGTCCTTCTCCTGCTTCCGAGTGGTGTTGTTGCCGCCGCTCGTCTGCACAACAGACGGACAGTGCATTCAAGACACACAAGAGATAACAGAATACAGTGGCGGCTATGGTTTAAGAGAGGGTGGTGACAAGTCAGTATTTATCTCTTAAATCCGGTTTTCTCTTAAACCGTACTGTGAAATGCATGTACTTCTCATGGTCGCGACAAACCAGTTTGGCTTTCTCGAATCGGTACTTTCTCTTAAATAGTCTCTTAAACCGTAGCCGCCACTGTAGGACATAAAGTAAACATAAAACATCAAAGGTTAGGCTGCCCGCTAGAGAAAGTACCCCGTTCGAAAGGAGCGGCGGCTGAAGTCTGTACAGCGACTGATTGTCAGGCAAACCTGCTGGATACTGGGCTTAGTTGAGCATGTTTAAGCTTGTTGCGGCAAGGATTATACGGCAATCAAGCATTCTTGCATCCCACAGGGGTTGCGGGGAGGGCGGAACGGGGGGGGGTGGGGGTCGACAGAGAGAGAGGCCATGAGTTACAAGGTGACCTCCAATCTGATGTGCCCGCTCAAGTCCAAGCTAACACGCCACCAGCCGCTCCGCCGCGTGCTGTGGTTAATCCAACAGACATTTCAGAGTTCTCCTAGACAGTGCTCTCCGCGAGAAAGCATGCAAGCTTCATTCATGCTGGTGACATCGAGGGTCACGGACCGTATCAGCGGAAGGGAGGGACGAAAGACGGTAGGCGTAAAGCGATCGCATGTGAAGTAGATACCTTCCCGCGGTGGCTAGCCCGCTTCTCTCCCAGCTGCGCCAGCCGCTTGCTTTCCCTGCAGCAGCCACCGAACACGCCAGACCGCGCCGGCGGTGGACGAGACGAGAGGGAGACGGAGAGGGACAGGCGAGGCAGACAGGCCGACAGACAAGACAGAGAATTACAAACAAATGGATGTGAAAATAAGGCTAGGATGGAGCGGCTAGACGAACATCGACCAAGACTACGCTGAAAAACTCTTCAAAGGACACACACCAGATCGCACCATGCTAGTGCGTTCATCATACACACACCATAGACAGATGTTTTCAAGGCTCTCGACTGCTTCACAGAAGAAAGAAAAAAAAATCCCGTTACATACCGGCCCCAGCGGCAGCGCGCGCGGGGGGGGGGGGGGTTTTACTTATTTTAAACGCATTCCCTAACTTTTAAAACACAAGCCTTCCATTCCTAAAATTTTTGGA